CTTCGCGATTGCCCAAGAGAGTAAGCCTCCGAATTCGGAGCGCCTTCCATGGAAATCACGTTTGGGCCGAATAAGACTCCGAATTCGGAGCGCCCTTCGTGAACTTCACGATCGGCCAAGATAAAAAGCCTCCGAATTCGGAGCATCCTTCGTGGACTTTACGATTGGCCAAGAGAGTAAGCCTCCGAATTCGGAGCGCCCTTCGTGAACTCCTTGATCGGCCAAGATAAAAAGCTTCAGAATTCGGAGCGCCCTTCGTGGAAATCACGATTGGCTAAGAGAATAAGCCTCCGAATTCGGAGCGTCCTTCGTGAAGTCACGTTTAGGCCGAATAAGCCTCCGAATTCGGAGCGTCTTTTGTGGACTCCACGATTGGCCGAGCATAAACCTCTGGATTCGGAGCGCCCTTCGTGGAAATCACATTTGGGCCGAATAAGGCTCTAAATTTAGAGCGCCCTTCACTGAGATCACGTATCGCCAAGGAAAAGCGCCTCCAAATTCGGCGCTTTTTTGTAAATATTATGATTGACATGCATAAACACAGTTGACGAGAAATGCAAGATGATCATAGCCGAATGCATAAACATAAAATTGAAATAACATGCCAACATTTAAAATAATATGTTTCATTGAATTAATCAATAGTACATAATTCGCTTCATATCTACGTTAGAGCGGTACAATATGTTCGGTTTCATTCGGCATCCCTTTCGGCATCGCTCTTCTCGACTTCAAAAGCCGCAAAAGGAAAATAATGACCCTGATATAAAGGAAACGCCGAATCGACGCCCGCTGCCCAGAGAGCCTCAATGGCCTGGAGAGCCTTGATCCACCCATGCTTAAATCCACGATTCTCGCATCGGCAAACCTCTTCGGCAAGCGTTTCCTTAGTCTTTTGTATCCCAACTTTTCGGCCGTCATGGAAGCCTTGTTCATAAGCCCTGGCCTTTCCAGTCTCTATTGCAAACATGGTTGCCGTATCTCGATCGGCAATCACATGACTTATGAGCTGTTGGGTCACCATTTCTTCCACAATCGGGTTAGCTTGGCCGGCTGACTGTGATTCGACAGTTTTGACCTTTCTTAGTTCACGCTCAGTCTTCTGCACGCAAGCTTCTAGGTTTTGAATGCGTTCATCATTCAAGAAAAGTGTAATTTGTTGTAGTATTAATTTTCAAATTCTATGATGTGACAATTAATTAGAATATCAAAAGTAATATTTTCTCATATTTTCATTAACCATCAGTCAATCATATTACTTACACATCATTGGGTTTATAAAATGAGTTTAAAGAGTGAGCTTGTAGATCATTTTTCTTTTGCCAATAATGCCCTCAGTGTTTGATGTTTGAATACATTTAAGGTGAGATGTTTTGGACAATTAACCTTGCTAAGCCCTCAAACGTCATGTGTGACCTGAAATTTTAAATGTAAAATCAAAGTTCTATTTCATTCACTATTTCTAAGTCTTTTTTTGCCGATGGAAAATTGGGTCCCAACTAGGACGACCCCTATCAGATTGACTAAATCGCGGGGATAGGGGCATATTGGCACAAAGACATGGATGGAATAAGCCTACCACGTCCATGGAATTCCACACACTTGCGCAAATTTTATCATTAACTTATACGGCAGAATAATTTGTTATGATTGTTCGCCATGTACGTGTTTCATTTTTTATACAATGTTCTCTTTGGCCTAGTTAGTTGTTCACCAAAAAGCCTCCGAATTCAAAGTGCCCTTCGTGAACTTCATGATCGGTCAAGAGAAAAAGCCTCCAAATTCGGAGTGCCCTTCGTGGAAATCACGATTGGCCAAGAGAATAAGCCTCCGAATTCGGAGCGCCCTTCGTGAAGTCACGTTTGGGCCGAATAAGCCTGCGAATTCGGAGCGCCCTTCGTGGACTTCGTGATTGGCCAAGAGAGTAAGCCTCCGAATTCGGAGCGCCCTTCGTGAACTTCATGATCGGCCAAGATAAAAAGCCTCCGAATTCGGAGCATCCTTCGTGGACTTTGCGATTGGCCAAGAGAGTAAGCCTCCGAATTCGGAGCGCCCTTCGTGGAAATCACGATTGGCTAAGAGAATAAGCCTCCAAATTCGGAGCGTCCTTCGTGAAGTCACGTTTAGGCCGAATAAGCCTCCGAATTCGAAGCATCTTTCGTGGACTCCACGATTGGCCGAGCATAAACCTCTGGATTCGAAGCGCCCTTCGTGGAAATCACATTTGGGCCGAATAAGACACTAAATTTAGAGCGCCCTTCACTGAGATCACGTATCGCCAAGGAAAAGCGCCTCCGAATTCGGCGCTTTTTTGTAAATATTATGATTGACATGCATAAACACAGTTGACGAGAAATGCAATATGATCATAGCCGAATGCATAAACATAAAATTAAAATAACATGCCAACATTTAAAATAATATGTTTCATTGAATTAATCAATAGTACCTAATTCGCTTCATATCTACGTTAGAGCGGTACAATATGTTCGGTTTCATTCGGCATCCCTTTCGGCATCGCTCTTCTCGACTTCGAAAGCCGCGAAAGGAAAATAATGACCCTGATATAAAGGAAACGCCGAATCGACGCCCGCTGCCCAGAGAGCCTCAGTGGCCTGGAGAGCCTTGATCCACCCGTACTTAAATCCACGATTCTCGCATCGGCAGACCTCTTCGGCAAGCGTTTCCTTAGTCTTCTGTATCCCAACTTTTCGGTCGTCATGGAAGCCTTGTTCATAAGCCCTGGCCTTTGCAGTCTCTATTGCAAACATAGTTTCCGTATCTCAATCGGCAATCGCATGACTTATGAGCTGTTGGGTCACCATTTCTTCCACAATCGGGTTAGCTTGGCCGGCTGACTGTGATTCGACAGTTTTGACCTTTCTTAGTTCACGCTCAGTCTTCTGCACGCAAGCTTCTAGGTTTTGAATGCGTTCATCATTCAAGAAAAGTGTAATTTGTTGTAGTATTAATTTTCAAATTCTATGATGTGACAATTAATTAGAATATCAAAAGTAATATTTTCTCATATTTTCATTAACCATCAGTCAATCATATAACTTACACATCATTGGGTTTATAAAATGAGTTTAAAGAGTGAGCTTGTAGATCATTTTTCTTTTGCCAATAATGCCCTCAGTGTTTGATGTTTGAATACATTTAAGGTGAGATGTTTTGGACAGTTAACCTAGCTAAGCCCTCAAACGTCATGTGTGACCTGAAATTTTAAATGTAAAATCAAAGTTCTATTTCATTCACTATTTTCTAAGTCTTTTTTTGAAATTTTGAAACTCTTGGGTTTGTTTAGTTTAATTTTAGAATCATAATTTAAATGTGGAGTTGTGATTTAAGTATAGAGTTATGAATTGAGTTTTGAAAAGAGAAAATTTGTAAAGATACTTTATAATTCTTTAGAGTGAGAAATTGGTATGTGTAATAAATAAATAAATAAAAGGAAAAATAGAAGTGGCAAACAAAAAAACAAAACAAAACAAAACAAAACTTTCAGTTTATGAAAAGGAAAAAAAATCAAATAATCCACATTTCTAAAGACCAAAAAAAGAAAAGTGAATTCGAAGAAACAAAAGTTTCAATTTATAAATATGAAAAGGAAAAATTACAATGGTAGTTCCTACATTTTTCCTCGTGTCATTTTGGTTTACACTTTCAATTAGATAAATTTTGACCCTTAATTTTAGATTTTGTGTCAATTTAATCTAATTGATAACGTCGTTAGTATTTTTGACAAAAAATGGTTACTGAATTGGTTAAAGTTAACTCACCAAGTTGAACAAGTTTATACTTTTTGCCTATAAAAGAATGTCATGTCACTTACATGCATATTTTTCATTAAAAAATACTAACAATTACAAGCAATTGGATTAAATTGAGATAAAATTATAAATTTAATATCAAAATTGAGTCAATTGAACCTATAAATGACACAAAAACTAAAATATAGGGACTATCAACGTAATTTGCCCAAAGGAAAAAAAAAATCAAATAATCCACATTTTTACAAACTCCCCCCGCCCCCCCAAAAAAATAAAAATAAATAAATAAACCCTAAATAAAAGAATAAGAAACAAATAGTAAATTCAAAAAACAAAAGATCATGGGACTAAGATTTTTAAATGTCAAAATAAAAACTAACACATAAAGCAGGATTAGGCTTCATGTTTCCAAATCTTGTTAACTGCCTTCTTTTTAGGATTTAAGGTTTGGGAAACAAACATAAAGCAGCATGAGGCTTCATGTTTCCAAATCTTGTTAAACAAACTTTAAGTGAAGCCACAAAAAGGACCATTCGACTTCAACAGTGTTCAACCACCTCATTTTTTATATTAAGAATATTAATGAAGAGAATAATAATTTCTCCAAAGAGAAATGAAGGCAGACTTGATTGGTAGAAAGAAAAGCATCCCCAATGTGGTTGGATTTGGAAAACAAGAGTCATATATAAGCAATGTGTAGAAAAAGGAAAATGAGATTACAGAAGTTCGTAATATGTGATTTAGCAGTTTCTATGTATTACAGAAGATTTTGATATCTGAAATTTTCTATTTTGTCACCAACTACATTGCGTTTTAACATCATTTATTCATAAATTTCAATTTCAATTATCTTAGCACTTTGTTTTCAATAATATGAATAATTATAGAATTTTTTCTACTAGAAACTTATTTTTTTATATATGTTTCTGGTTTTCTACTTCAAAATATTCCTGTAATTCTTGAATCTTTTACATAGTAAAGGCACATTAACCAAAAAAAAAATAAAAATGCAATGTTTCTATCTTGTAATAAAGTCATGAGAAAATTAGTCTAAAGTCCCTCTCTCATTTTTAACAATGGAAGAGATCCACAATATTATTTTATGTTGTCTAAAGTCCCTCAACTCTCACACTCATATATCATAGAGAAATTTGACTATATAAAATCAAACCTCATTTTTCTTTCTCTCTCTCTCTCTCTCACTCTAAACTCTCTCGACGTGCCTAGTTCATCAAATCGTCCACCTTCTTCTTCATCCCCTTCTGGTATGTGCCTCTCTCTCTCTCTCTCTCTCTATATATATATATATATATGTATCTCTGCATTTCATCTTTAGTGGAAATGGTCCTGTATCTAATTTCAAGAGCTTGCAAAAAAGTGATTCCAGTGCTCAAGTTGTGGAGGCGAACAAAGGAAGCTAATTTATGGGATTTGGAGAGAAAATAGTGAACCCCATTAATGGAGCCATCGTGCTTTCCATCACTATTGTCCCACTCGTTGTTGAAATGGCTCCCCACAGCTCAACCCCTGCAACCGCCGATATGCGTCGTCGTCGCCTCGGCTCGGCTCGGCTCCTCCACCTCCACCGGATTCGACGATGGCGGCACCAGAAGTAACGTCCTTAAGTTCTACAATGTCTTCAGGTTCAAAAGAAAAATTAGTTAGTTCTATCTTCTCATTGTTGATAAATGTGTGTATATATATATATATATATATGTATATGATACATACATTTATATATACATACAAAGAACTCTTGAATTTCTTTTGATAGTGTTGACAGTGTACAATGAGGAGATAGAACTCACAGAGAAATTTTCTCTGAATCTAGAGAAATGTGCTGACAGAGAAATTGTATACAATGTTTCCTACAATTTACTACAAATCTGGATATATATATATATATATATATAAAATGTCAACACTGTCAACATTGTATACAACACTATCAACACTGTATATATACAATGTCAGCACATATATATATATATATATCTAGTGTTGAATACAACATCTTCAGGTTCAAAATTTCTCTGAATCCAGATAAATGTGCTAACAGTGTTGAATACAATGTTTCCTACAAACCAGAGAAATTTTGTACTAACAGTGTTGACAGTGTTGAATTTCTCTAGATTCTTAGAATTTCTCTGGATTTGGCCATTTTTCTCTGGATTTGAAAATGTTATCTAGATTACCCTTGAATTTTCTCTGGACTTGGCAATTTTCTCTAGGTTAGAGTGGGATTTTCTCTGAGTTTGAATGAATTTCTTGGTTTTGAGGGAGATTTTCTCTAGGTTTGAGTTCTGAAATTTTCTTTCACTGCAACAAGGGCTTTGCTCTCAACTTCTAAACGATCAGTTTTAAAGGATTTCCATGAAAAAAGAGCTCTCAAGATATTGTGATTATCCAACTGACTCCCACTTACCCCCTTGTTTTACCCAGTTATGTGTTTAATTTTCTTTCAATGGATTGTTTGGCTTTTGAGAAAATTAGAATTTCTCTAGGATCGAATTTTTTATGGATTAATGTTGAGGAACCTTAGACATTATGAAAATATTAAATGTCCTTTATGTAATAAAATCTTAATGTCATGGACCCTAAAAGAAAATCCCCTATAGTCATTGGGAAAATATAAAGTGATGGATACACTCTCAAAATCCTCTATTGCGGCTGCGTTTGGCAACAAAGTTAAAAGTCAAAAATTAGCTTTTATCTTATTTTGGGTTCCAACACTTCTTATATTTTTTTTACACTTTTTTTTTTTTTATAAAAAAAAAAAAGCCAAGAAAAGTATATGAAAAAAATCAACTTTTAACCATATTTCTAAAATCATGAAAGCATTCACTCTATTTGGTTTCCATTTCCAGAATTCACTTTTCATAAAATTTTATTTTTTCATTTTTCGTATTTTTTTTAACTTCACTGAATTTTTTTAATATTTAATTTTTTTAAAAAAAATTTAGACATACCTAACATAAATACACTTAAAAAAGTGTAATATTTTTGAAAAAAAAATATTTTAAAAAATCACTAAATACCAAAAATACAAAAAAAATAAGAAAATTCAATACATTTTTTGTATTTTTGCGTATGTATTAATTTTTAAAAATATTTTACTATTTAAATACATCTAAGTAAGATGCATATAAAAAAGTAAAAAAATTTATTTTAAAAATATTCACTAAAAACAAAAAAATACAAAAAATAAAAAATTCAATTTCCCAAAAATTGAATTCAGAAAATTGAAATCAAATACACTGATTATCTTCGTGCGAACAAGATTTTAAAAATAATTTAAAAAAAAATAATATTTTGCATAAATATTTGCAGTAGAAAAATTACCTCTCAATAGGTCCAAGCTTAAGAATCACATCAGCTATAGCTTAGAATTTCCTTTTCCCACTAATTGAGCAAGTTTTTTCCTTTCCATTTTGAATGTTTCAGTTTTCTCCATCCCACGATTAATATCAATGAATTCTGCAACTATATCCCATCAAACTACAAGTGTTGTGGGAAAAACTTTAATAGCAAAAACTTCACAATCTAGAAACTAATAACCCAATATGATACATACCTTGGCGTGCATAGCAATCATACTTTGACCAAGAACGCTGCCAATGGTGTGGATTCCATCAATATTCAAGCACTGCAACATTATGTAATCTAATCCACCTTGCATCCAAGTGTTTAAAGTCGGCTTCTTTCTCCCCTCATATTCTACATTTTCAAACACAAAACAAATTTCACTCCGCTGTTGCCAGTTGAAATGAAAGGGCAAAAACATGATTCACCCTAATCAACCTATTGCCATTGCTTGACAACAAAATTACTAATTCACTTATATAATGAAAAAATTATTAGTTCGTTTAGGGGCACTACGTGGTCAAATCTCCATGCCCCTTCATGTTTCATAATCACTCGACACAAAACCGTAAGCCTTATTCCCTCCACCAATCATTTTTTTTTTTGATCGGCAAAAAGAATACTTTATTGATGGAAAAACAAAGATTACATCAATAAAGGGGAGCTTGGAGCTTAAAACAAGCTCCAACCTCCAAGTTGGTGAGAAACCAACGAGCCAACAAAACAAAGGAAAAAAAAAACAAGGAAAACCAAAACAGAACAGATAGCCCACATTTGAAGCACCAATAACACCAAAACCAGAGCAGACACACAGCCCACAGTTGAAGCACCAATCAGATGAGGACCAGCAGTTAGTTAGGCACCAAGACAGAACAGGTAGCCATGAAGTACAACGGCCCAAATTACCCACAAAAGCTTTACACCAACAATGCAGCAGCATTCCTACAAACTGATTAAATACAGCAGCATCAGCAGTTCACCCACCCAGATTGTTAGCCCAACCCATCTGCAGTTCACTACTATGGCCCTACAAAATAGATCAACCTCTGCATCAGTTGCACCAAAACAGAATCACTCAGAAACAGCAGTACACAGGTTATAACCTCAGTGCATTAGGCAGAATTTCACATTTTGCAAATTATACACCAGATCCTCAACAGAATAGCAAAAGGAAGGACTAAAGGCCCTGAACCACATTGCAACCCGTGTTTTGATAAGATCACACAACTTTCCAAAATCCAACTGTGACTCATTAAAGATGATTTCATTCTGTAGCTTCCATAACGACCAAAGCACTGCCAGTAGAATTATCCTCCAAAGTACCTTCAATCTGTTTTTGCATCTAAACCCAGCCCACCATTGAATAAGACCCACCACTGACCCTGGCTGTACCCATGATACGCCCCACCATCCAATAATATTAGACCAAACTCTCCAACTAAATGAACAACACAGCAGCACATGGGGTACAGTTTCCCTTTCCTTTCTGCAGAATACACAATTAACATCAGAGTTGGGACTTAGGATTCCAATACTTTGCAGATATGTAGAAGTCTTGATCCTCCCTTTCCATGCTAGCCAAGCAAAAAATTGCGCTTTCGGAGGTGCTGCATTCTTCCAAATGAGCTCCACCACTTGTGTAGGCATGGTAGTTGTTAACTCACTCCACTTGTACGCAGACGAAACGGTAAATATTCCAGATCTGTCCGCAGCCCAAGACAACCCATCTACCACCCCATACCTGAGCTCTGGAGCAGTTTGTAACAACTCCTTCATTTTCCTCAATTCTTCAACTTCCCATTGAAACAATGCTCTTCTGAAAGTCAAGTCCCACCCCCCACTACCAGTACTCGTACTCTTAATCACTGCCACTGATACACCTTGCTGCATAGACACAGAGTATAATCTAGGGAATAGGTTCTTTAAACAGTCACCACCAACCCATTGATCCAGCCAAAAACTTATGAGCCTCCCATCCCCAATGGTGATCTTTGAGTTGGCCTTAAGTACCTCCAACAGATGTGGACACTTAAGAGCCACCTTCAAAATATCCCTCCATACCATAGAATATCTGGAATTTACATCTTGAGCTGGCCACCTAGATCCACCATTATGTGGGTACTTGCTGATAATCACTTTTTTCCAAATAGATTCAGATTCACTCCCAAACCTCCACCACCATTTGAGAAGAAGACATTCATTCATGGTTCTCACCTTTCTAATACCTAGACCCCCGTTACTCTTGCTTTGAGTAATTTCTTCCCATTTTACCATATGTATTTTCCTTCTAAGTTCATCACCCCCCCACAAAAATCTGGACTGAATTTTATCAATCTCTTTGGCTATCCCTTCAGGCATTCTAAACAAAGACAAGTAAAACACTGGTAGTGAAGATAGCACAGACTTGATCATTGTCAACCGACCAGCGAAGGAAAGAAGCCTACGCTTCCATGAAGCAAGCTTTGATTTGAATTGATCTATGACAGGTTGCCAAGACCTTCTCCTCCTTGGATTAGCCCCCAATGGCATCCCTAAATACTTCAAAGGTAACAAGTGAAATGAGAAGTATGAAAACATGATGGATTCTCCAAATTGAGGTATAATTGAACCATGCATGTAGGAATTTCATGAATTCTAACTCAAATTATGCATGCATGTAGATATTTAACTCTTAGCTTCCAAACTCAAGGTGATTGAAGCTCTTATTTAGCAATTTCATACAAAAGAACTCAGAACCTTGATGAATACAACTTCTACATGACTTGATTCTAAGAATTTAGGATGAATTTCATACCTAATGTGTGAATTCAAGTGTATAATGGCTCCAATCTTCAAATCTTCCTCAAGTTCTCTACAAGACTCCTTGTTTCTCTCTCTATATGTTGAACTCTCCTCCCTTCTCTCTTAATTCTCAGCTGAGAGTTGTAAAAATGAGCCTATAAGCTTAATTAGAGCCCTATATAAGGTGTAATTAAGTTAGCCCAGTTAAATATGTTTAAGGTTAATTAACTAGACTTACTTCTAACTAATTCAATCAATTTATTCTAATTATTTTGATCCAAATCAAATTTTCAATTAAGTTACCATAAAATTCTAAATATTCTAATTAGCTTATTGGGTTAGACAATTTCAGTTTCTGAAGTCGTTTAGGTTCTCAATTTCTGGCTCTAAGTTGTCAATTTTAACAGATATTCCATATGACAACAGATAATTATAGAATTAAATATGTAGTCACACAATTAAGCACATAATCATGCAATTAAACTCATTAAAATAACATAATATGCTAGTTCGGAGGTCGAGGTCGTCACAAAATTTGTCAAATTTAGAGAAAATTTGATCTAGAAAAAATTGCCAAATCTATAGAAAAGTGGCCAAATCCAGAGAAATTCAACACTGTCAACACAAAATTTCTCTGCCTTGTAGGAAACATTGTATTCAACACTGTCAACGCAAACATGATACATACACATATATATATATATATACAT